ATATATGGTGGATTGAAGACAGTGAGAGTGAGGAAAAACAGAATGGGGGGAAAGAGATGATGTTGAGGAGAGAGGAGAGAGGAGAGAGAAGAGAGAGATAAAATGAGAGACTGAGGAATTGAAACAGCAGAAGGAAAGAAGAGGGGAAATAGAAAGAAGGAAAAAAGGGCGCCTTTTTTAATTTTATTTATTACAATTGGCACCGGTTTGAACCGGTGCCATTTCAAGAAATTAGCACCGGTTTGGTTTGTATCGGTGCCATTGCTCTTACATTAAATCCCGCCTTGTTTTTTTCCCACCGGTTTTCAAGAACCGGTGCTAATTTGTCGGTACTAATTGTGTTTTTCTACTAGTGGTATTATGTTTGATGATAATGCAAACCTCACATAATCAGTTTCCTTCATAAATCCTGTATTATTGTTTCCTTTTTATTCCTAGGCTTAGTTTGTTTTTAGGCCTTGCATTATGTCTTTGTTAAAGACATAATACGTGAAATATCATATTCCAAATCTTAAAATATATGATAGTTGTTTATCATAATTGTAGCATAATTTGATGAATTGAAGTACAACTTAAATTACTTCCATATATATTTATTATGTGTTCTATCTTGATGGTAAAAGTACTATATTCTTTTATAGTCAAATTTATGGTTATATAAATTATTGAACTTAGAAAAGTTGATTGTGGCAATGTTGCCTGTGCATATATAATCATAAATGCTTCCATTTATATGTTATATATTGTATCCTTGTGTAATTTACTAGACTTCAATACGACTTTCTTTTGAGTTTTTGTTGATCTCCTCGAAGCAACACTATACAATATTATGAGATGGTTGATCAAATCTAATTATTAAATTAATCTATTGAAAAGGGGGCCGGGTGAAGTTGCATGCATGCTAATTATATTCATACTCTTTAAAAACTATCAACATACATACTCACCTTATGAATAATTTATTTCTGTCCCCCTCTTACCGAAATCAGAATTTAAATTATAAAGTTTGCATCTATATATAATGGTGATTTTGCTTTGTTTTGTTCTATTATAACTTCATCCTTTATCATATGTGGAATGAATTTGTAGAATTGGAAGATATTACCTTTTTGATAAATATGTAAAATAATGAATTATGGTTTCAAAAAATTAATATTTTTTACGAAGATGTACTTATTCCCCGAAGTGAATGAGAGATTGATGTATGATGGAAAAAGATAAAAAGAATGTTTGTTGACTTTATTGATCATGATTATGGAAAAGATCATAAGAAATGCAAACATGAGTACATAATATTCATTTGAGTTAGAAATTATTTTTATGAATTTAAGAAATTGAGCATGATATACTTTTGAGAATTTTTAGTATAAAGATTCATATAATTGGGCAAGAGGAACGAATATGTTTTTTTATAAGAATCATTTTACTTTGCTTGATACATGCATTAATAAAAGAATTTATGGCTTAAAAGGTGCAAGAGATTTAAAGGTAGTTGGATTAATTTAATGCCCCCATATGCAAGGATTAGGGGAATATAATATTTATTCCATTATTTTATGTAATCCTTGGACATGAATAATAACGTACATTGATGGTCAATTTGATACATACATTAGCTTAAATACCAACTATTTATTTAATAGAGGTGTCCACACGGTAATTAAATTTTTAGTATGATAGCATCTTCAAAATGGATATGAACCATTGTCATTGGATTGACTATATACTAGTTGTATATGCTCCAATTAAAATTTATGTCTCAAAAGGACAACATCAGTTGCCAATGAACCTAGAGCACGCCTGAAGCGTGGTAGGTTAATAGGTTTCCATAAGAATTTTTCGAAAAGGAAAGAAGCAACTATTGACTATGAAAAAGTTGAGGAAGTAATAAATCACTTTAGAATTTTAGAAGAAATCAGTTTTAGTAAAATTGATATATATCATGATTATATAAAATACTCCAGAAGAGTATAGAATTATCCAACAAGATTAGCATGTATCAAGATTATACTTAGTACTCCAACAGAATATGAGTTATTATTGGATCAAGTTTTAATTGATTGTCTTGCCAAGTGTAGAACTAAACACATGTTAGTGTTCTTATATCACATCATATATTCATATTCATGGCCATACATAAAGTATGTCTAATAAAGCAATCGCCAGTGTTGAAAAATTGACTAGAATTTAAATTTGGAACGACGATTGGATGTGATAATGAAAATAGGCCATTCGAGTTTAATAATTAAATTACCTGTTATTGAAACCTGAAGTTTCACTCGATAATGTGCTGACACTCTCTCATGTTAGATATAGATAAAATAAATTAAGTGGCAAGATATAACATTGAGAATGAACTATATTTGGATTGTGATTCGTAATAGTTTGTGTTGAAGAAAAATTCAAGAGATAATATATTGGTTTTGAATAATTGGTGACCAGAAGTTCACTAGTATAATTTATATGTCGTCAAATATTAGGTGACTAGAAGCTCACCAAGTACAAGTTGTATGTTGAAATTTTGAGTAACAAGTATCATACTATCAATGTTTCTAGTGATCCGCAAGATCACCACCTAGTGCAATTACAAGCAAGTTTATGTTTATGTAACGTTTCTCTTGATTGGGGCTATTATATGTCAGCACATAAGAAATTGAAAAAGAAGGAAAAACGTACAACTACACAACAATTATCTCTCCATTGACATTGATTTCCAGAAGAGAACATATTATGGAAAGTGTAATAATAAATACACGTGCAATGTAAAGTTAATGAAAAAATGATTCTTCATTGAAATTGTTCTCCAGAAGAGATAAAACTTGTTTAATATAAATCTTCTGAGTGATAAATTTTGATTGTGATCCTCCTAATGAAATGAACTTTAATGCAAATTTGTATACTAAGTTGGTATAGAATTAGACGCCCCTATAAATGAGATATTTTACTAACTTAAGGGGGAGAAGAATTAGCAAAAGTTGGAAAAATCGGAAAAAAATTGATGATCCCTATAATGGTAGTTTGAAAAGTTATATGCCAACTTTTGTCTATATATTATCAAGATACGTTGCACATTTATGATTTGATTTGTATTCAGTTATGACTTATGTTGCATAGCGTTGAAGATACATTTTGGTCATATTATGTGTATACATTGAGATAAAATCTTGCCAATTATACTTGAAGCGTAAGTTGTATGATCGGTTCTAGATATGTCCAATAGATATGATATATGGCAAGATAGTGCAGTTAATACTTTTAATAGTGTAATAGTATATAAATACCATAGTGTATGAAATACCCCAAAAGTGGTATTAATATCTGAATTATTACAATAGATGGCCTATGATGTAAGAAAAGTTATGATGGTACCAATGAGAAATGTATTAAGATATCATAGTAAAATAGCATGCGAAATGTACATTAAAGAAATTTTATGATACCGGTACATAATGGAACCAATGAATAATATGCATATGCATGATAGAATGGACTAGTGAATAAGGGATCTGAAATATAAGTCCATTTTGATGTCAACATAATAATAATAATCATCAAAAGTTTATCATGGACCAGAAGTCCAATAAAATATGGATTTTTAAATCTACACTGTACAATGTCTTGTATTATTTTGAGTCTTATGTTCATGTGCATATGTGAGTCATAGGTAAATGGATTGCTCATTGCACGTATAGGAAGTTAGATGCATTACTCATTGTATATTTTTGTTCAATATCTTATCACGATTTCTATATCTCATATTGCATGCATTAATTAGTTTCTATATTAAAATTGTGGTATGTGTGAATGTTTGTCCCTTACAATTGTGATGAAATTATGTATTACGTCGATCTAATAGCATGTTATGGATGTAAGAAGAGTTCCTGAAGAACTTATATATGACGTATTTAATTATATAGCTCTACAAATTTTATATTTCGAATATTGCAATTATAATCAAACTCCTAAAAAGTCTATGTGACTACATTATTGACAGCTCAACCTAAAGATTGAGCATGTGACAGTTAGTGAGATTTACTATTTGTATTTACAAGAGAAATATCATATAAATTATGAAACGTCTAAAGAATAACAATGAGATATTTTATGTTATAATCTTATAATGAGAATAATCTTCTTATGGTCCAGAAGAATTATGAACAAGTTATATAATTACTTACATTATATCACTAATCCATAAAATTGTACAATGATATTGATGATACCACGAGTTGCCATAAATTATGATAAACTATGATCAATATTTGATTATCAATAGCAAATTTATATGTCCTTAAAAAGAAGGCATAAGTTTAATGGTTAAGGAAACTTGAAACAACAATATCATATAAGACATTTGTAACACAACACATGACTTATTATTTTCACATGTATGGAGAAATGAAGATTCCTCACATTGAAGTTTTCAAGATTCATGTTAGATTAAGGAGGATCAACTAAAGGATCGGAATGTTATTACGCCCAAGTGCAAGTTACCCAAAGGCATTGGCTTCATTACACTGGAAGATATCAAGTTATGCAATCATTGGGGGGAGAAAATACGCGCTGCACTATTTTTTCCTTAACTAAGGTTTTGTCTCACATTGGGTTTTCCTGGTGAGGTTTTCAATAAGGCAGCATTCCAAGGCGTATCATGAAAGTGTTGTACTTTTTTTCCTTCACTAGGTTTTTATCCCATAGGGTTTTTCCTAGTAAGATTTTAACGAGACACACTATTCGATAATGGTCATCCAAGGGGGAGTGTTATATAATATATGTATTTATGGATGCCCATTATACCCTTCTATCTTTCTAGAATATTCTTATTTTATTAGGGTTTATCATTGTCTAAGAAAACCCTATCTATTGTTGTGTATATATATCCCTTGACATGTAATAAAAAGTAGATTGATTCTCTCCTCCATTACTCCTTTTTCTCTTTAATTTTATAACATGCACATTTTGTATAAATGAAGTTTAAGATCAAAATTTAACAGAGTAACTCACATTCAAAACATAATGTCTAGATATCGAAATACCACTGTTTTTTCATCCACACAAGATCATCAATACATTCACTAACGCTGAACAAAAGAGTGTTAAAATATACAAGCAAGGATTTAGCAAACAGAACAACTTGAAATTGCATGTCCAACCTAAACTACTCATATTCAACATAATTGCACAATTAATCTTAGAAATTCTTACATGATTTTGCATAATTTGATCATACATTTGCTTGTCTACCATCAGGAGTCATGCTACCAGGCTCCACCCTTGTCATTGCAAAGGCGGGTTTTTGTGACGGGTCATCTTCATCATAGTACATGTAAGCGAATCCACCATGTTTGGTTAGATCCATACCCGCCATCTCATCTTTGCTAGAAATTCTTAAGAGCCCAAGTTGTTTTAGGGTAAAGAAAAGCGGACCCATTAAGGCACTGACCCACCCGAAGATAACGAGGATTTGAATAATTTGAGCACCTAGTAACCTTCCCCCTCCACCCATGAATAGTCCATAATGGGTCCTATCCGACCCGTAGACCTCTTGTACGAACTTCTTTGTAGCGAATAGACCGGTAAAAATTAGACCCCACATGCCACACCCGGCGTGCAATTGGGCAGCCTCGAGTGGGTCATCATATTTGACCTTCTCAGCTAACTTATTAAACCCAATTAAAACCCAGGCGGCCATAAATCCACAAATTATGGCCGCCCACGGCTCAACAACGGAGCACCCGGAAGTAATAGCCGCAAACCCACCCAATAACCCATTACACACATCAATTACATTCCAATGACCCACCAATATCCTCTTACCAAACAAAGTAGTCAATGCTGCGGTCGATCCAGCCAATGTCGTTGTGACAGCTGTCCTAGCGACTGCACTCCATTGACCATAAAATCCCCCAGGCTCACCATAAGGCTTAAGAATAGTCAAAAAAGAACCAGCATTAAACCCATACCATCCAAACCAAAGCAAAAAAGTCCCTAACACAACCAATGAACCACTATGCCCTCTTAGGACCGCGGACCGGCCGTTACGATCAAAACGGCCGATCCTCGGGCCTTCAATAAAAGCACCCCACAACCCCGCCACCCCACCAACCATATGAACAACACCTGACCCAGCAAAGTCAATGGCTCCCGTCCCAAACAACAAGTTATCCGCATTAAATGGGCTAGCCCATCCATCCGCGGACCAGAACCAATGAGACACGACCGGGTACACAAACCCGGTCAAAAACGACGAGTATATCAAATAGGCTACGAACTTTGTACGTTCTGCTATCGAGCCGCTGGTGATTCCAGCGGCCGCGATAGCAAAAGCCCATTGATACAAGAACAAACTATAGTCTACACCAGCTTCAGGTACATCATTAAGAGCAAAAAAACGTCGTCCAATGAAGGGATTCGAAGGCGAACCAAAAGCAAATGCAAACCCAAACAAGTAGTAAGAAAGAGACCCTGCAGCAGCATCAAGAACGTTGATAAGCATGATGTTCATCGTACTCTTGGCCCGGACTGACCCGGCACATAACATCGCGAAGCCAAGTTGCATGGCAAAAACCAAGTAGGTTGAGAAAAGGAGGTACGTGGTGTCCACCGCGTATGCCACCGTTGTAAAACGGTTACATAAGTAGGTAGCTGCCGCGGTGGCATTAGCCGAGCCTCCGCCTAGGAGGGGGAGTAGCTCCGCAGCGTTACAAGACATTGTTGGAGGTAATGAAAAAAATAGAGGTTAGAAATAATGGATAAGCATATGTAATTTATGTGTGCAGTAGGGAATTTTTTTGTACGAAGTTGTTGGGAAAGGACGATGATATTGTGATATATGTCATGTATATTTATATTTGAGGATTATAATTAAGGTAAGAGTCTAATTGTTTAACTTTAAGTATATACTCCGTAGTATTAGTAGTACAGTGTCAACGGTGATTACAACTGTCATTAGTAAGGTGAGAAATGGTCTTCTGAGATATTTTTGTGAGTGGTTGCGGTGATTTTTCTGTGTAGCTGGCCACATTGTGTGGGTGGGTTACTTATTCAGCAGTTACTTATTTAGGGGTTAATCACTCGGTCAAGGGTTACTTATTCTGGGGTTATTCATTAGTCGGTTGGCGCGTTTTCGCCAGAGCTACTTATTTAGGGGTTACTCAGTCGGTTAGTGTGTTTTCTGTGTGAGAGTAACCCCTGACCAACCGAGTGATCCTTGACCGACCGAGTAACTCTTGACCGACCGAGTAACCCCTGAATAAGTAACCCCGATCACACGATGTGGTCAACTACATATAATTTTTTTTTTTTTTTTATTTTTTTTTTTTTGGGACATGAGCTTAAACAGTGAGTGGGTTGTTATATTTCTATTTTTGAACATAAACCTTTAACTTTTAAGAGGATACTAAATTATGAAATTATGAGTATGGTAAATTATTCAAGAGGATATTCAATGGTAAGGTAAATAATGGGATACTATGAAACTACAAGTATGTAATTATGTACTTTAAAATCACACAACATTATCTTTTTAATTTGCAACTTGTAAATGAAAAATGTTGGCCGTAAATTGTTTTAATTTTCAACGTAGTTGCTTGTACATTTCTAGGAGTTTTGCTCTAGAAGCTTTAGACTATCAATATTTCACACCTCACCTTATTTTGAAGTCAAACCTCTATTGGTCAACTTTTATCCGCAATTATTTTATTTTATGTTAATAAAAGACAAACCTCAATTACAGTCATTAGTTGATTATACCAACTTGAAATAAGAAAATATTTTTGGTATTAAAAATTCAATTTTTCAGGATGGATAATTATAGCTTCTTCCATCATATTTTAAATATTTTTTCTTTCCTCTTTGAGGCAATAACATAGTTAATCTTCAATTTCTATAAATTAAATTTGTTATTTCAGAACTCATATGTGATTTGAGACTAAAAATCTTAAATCGAAATGAAAGGAGGAACAAAAAAAATGTAGTTGACACAAACTGATTTTTAATACCCAATTAATGTGTACGTGATCAGACTCTCTTCTCATGCGGGATTGTTATCAATCCAATTACCCAATCATGAACTAACTCCCGTACAACTTGACTTGAGATGTGTTGTAAGACTTGTAAAGTTGTAAGTCATCAGTAGTTGCGTCAGCTTGAAAGGTGGTACATAGTTGCTACTTGCTATTAGAACGACAAATTACTAAGCTAAAGTACATGGTACAACTAATGGTATGATAAAATTTTCTAGTTGCATCAAAAAGGGCATTTATTGCAAACACGTTAAAGGTGAATTATTTGAAAAAAAATTCAAGATCTCTATGAATTTTCCACGGTATTGTTGAGATAAAATAAACTTTATCATTTAATCTTTATATTATAATCGAGAAGGGATTGCATTGAACTTTTTGTTAAGCTTGTTTGATTAGTAGTAAAGTCCTTCTATATAAAGTCGTTTGTGTTATAATTAATTGCCAGTAATTCCATTGAATCCAAATTGTATGGATGATATGCATCACATGTGCAATTCTTGAGATTATGAGGATGAAGTGTTGATTAATATTTTTTTCCTTTTTCTTTACTCGCAACATTTTTTCATCTATCTATAATATGTTACCTATATTTAGTTATTTACTTTGAACGAAAATTATAATAGTATAGGAAATAATTCCTCCGTTTTTTTTATAGTACGTTACAACACACACTTTATCACGGTAAAAGAGAACCTCGCATTATATAATACACTTAAAATGGGGTTAAGAAGTTGTTAGGACTTAGGAGTATAATTAAATGGGTCATAAACTTTAAATAAAGAAAATAGTACAATTTTCACCATAAAAACCATCATTTTATAATCTGTTGTAGCTATTGTGATATTTTCATTTTAGGGATATGTTGCAACTATAAATAAACGAAAGAAGTATTTATTATTAAGAAAATATTTAGCATAAACTATTAAACCTAAAACAAATCAAGAAGATTAATTTATTATAATAAACTCCATGTATAGCTAAATTAGCCATAGTGTTAACAAGCTTTTTTTAACACAAAGAGAATATAGATAGTGTTAACAAGCTAAGCACACATAAATTGACGAAGTCATGAAGACAATAATAGTTGCTTGATAATAATGACAAGAATAGTGCAACTACTTTAATACTTGACTAGATCAAACAAAGTAATGTCACAACTTGTCACTGAATTGAAACAAATTAAAATCAAACACTTATCTTATTGCAACTTGCAATGCTAAAAAGTACTCAACCATCCCTTAGACATTGCCTCATCATAATTTTCGTTTTTCACTATATTAAATGTTGTATTAAGGGAGTAGATAGATTAGATTTTTAGTAAATAATTAAACTACTATGGAGCACTAAATTAATTAGAGAGGACTTTGGAAAGTAGGATTAAGCTGTAAATCATGAAATTTCATAGAGACTAATCACTAAAGAAAAACGAGACAATCTTTATAAGACGTAGGATCAGAGTAGGGCACTGATCTTTTCTAAAGTGGAAACAATGGGAGAAAAAAGTTTCAAAGACAATAAAGATAGGAATCTTTTACTTTTCGTATATAGAAATGGCGTTGCACTGTCAAAAGTGGGCAAGATTCATGAACCATATCACAATTTTTTTATAACTTGATCTTACTTATAATATGTTGAAAACTTTAATTAATATCTTGCATCTTCCAATAAGCTACCGTACTTTTCACTGAAATAGCCTAAGAGTACTACAAATAACAATTTAATTATGAAAGTGACTAGTTTAGTATGGTAAAGTTGAACTTTGGCATAAAGAAAAGAAAATAGTACTCAACTTTTCTATTTTTCTATTTAACCCTAAAGAAACTAGAAACTACTCATGTTGATGTAATACATGAAGTATTAACATATAATACGTATACGTCAAACTTGACAAACTACATTAATGAATATTTATTTATCGTAGAGAGTGTAACCGTTGTAATGTGTAAATATAAAAAACTTCTCTTGTTTATTTATTATTCTTTTTTTTTTTTAAAACTCTCTTGGTTATTAACTTAAAATTGATTTTATTTTATTTTATTTTTTGGTGCAAGAGAAGGGCAAGCCCCAAAGACAAACACGAAGCTAAAAACTAAAGGAAAAAGCACAAACGAAAATTTCAATACTACTGTTCATTTCCCCTTTTTCTCCCATATCATTTTACATACTTCGTATCATATAGAGATGGACTTACTCCACTTTATGCTTTAGATGATAATTCATTGTGAGATTGAGTTTTTGTGTAATAAATAGAATTAATATTTAATAATACCTAAATTTAGTATGACTTATTGTTGTTTCATTGATTAATCATATGATATGTTTACTTTAATACAATAGTTTTATAACTATGAAACCTTTTGCAATATTAATACTCATCCCAAAAATCTTGTCACTTTGAATTGCGATTTCATAAGTGCACTTTCGTTTGCTAAAAGACAAATATTGAGCAAACCTTTATGGTATTAAACAAAGCTGGTGCACCCAAGCATGATTCGCATAAATATGGATGCACCATCTTACATTTAGATAGTTTCGGGTGAAACTCCCTTTCTTTTATCAAATACATTATTTATTTTTTTGAACAAAAAAAGAACTTATCAAATACATAATTTAAAATTTTGAATCTGAAGTTTTTCATTATTTTATGATTGTCATTTAATTTCTGATATATTACACTTAATTATAATTTTTGCAATCATCAAATATGGATTATTAAATAAGCCTAAGGGCCAATACCATTTCTAGTAAACCACCCAACTTGGCCCTTCCCCCATAGTTTAGTTGCTTAAAATCAACTATATAAACAATTAATCAACTATATAAACAATGAAAAATTGCCCTCTTGATTTTTTTTAATCACATAAATATAAAAATTGCATAATATTAGTCAGAGCTAGCTTGCAACATAAATAAACCTTGGAATATCGTTAATGTTGAATCATCTAAATAATGACGCATCGAAGTTGTAAACACATGGTTTAGTCTTATAAGTACAGTTCAAATGACCTAAATAAGATTATATTAAACTATGAAAAATCTAGAATTTCCTGAGTTGTAGGTATACGTAACATGTACAATAGTACAAGTATTATTTTTGTATAACCTATAGTTTTTATTTGAATTACTACCTCCGTTTCATATTTTTTTGCAACTTTGGAATATTTTATATCTCACAAATAATACCCCAAAATTGTAAAAAATATGAAACGGAGGTAGTATATTAACTTCATAAAGTAGTGCAATGTCGTTCCCACGACTTTGAATATCATTGATTGTACATTTAATTAAATTTTAAAACTTGATTATCAAAGAGTAGGTCAATAATTACAGCTATGAACTATATTTAAGCTGTAAAATTAGTGAATTAATCAAAATCTGCTTTATTATTCCCTAACAAAATCTTTCTTTCTTAAGCATGAATCTAGGTTTGAGATTCGCCACCTGATATTTGTTTAACTTCAAAAATAATTTCGAAATATTGGACTTTTTTTTTCCCCCACTTTGTAAATTTAGAAAAGCGTGTTGAAATTTGAGAATCAGGCCAAAATCTGTTGATAAATTTTTAAAAAGTCAAAGAAATTATGAATGACCTAAATAGACCGTGTAAGTACGCAATCTATTTTCTTATTGTTATTGATGATTAATGTCAAAGATGATGTCTTGTTAAGAGAAAATTACTGTAAGGATGCACGGGTCTTTTGTATACAACGGGTGTATTATATGCAATAGTTTAGCCTTTATGCAGCTATGCTCCTTAACTTATTAAAAAGCCTATTTTTACAAAATACTGAGTACTTAATAATGTTAATAACACTTAAATAAGTAGCCAACCACCAGATGGAACAACAATTTACCATAACCGATCGATGCACCACAACTAAGAAGACCATTAGATCAGAACATCGACTGTCACTTGTTCTTTGACTTGAGTTGTACTGCAAGCAAGACCAAACCAACTGCAGAAAACCCAGACAGCAAAGTGGATGTATAGAACATTGCAATCAGAGATGTCCTCAAAGACTGCAATCAGACAAAATTGGAATCGAATGTTAGCTATTTGATCTTGATCACAGCGACGATTAAATAATCAGATGGATTCTAAGATGAATATGTTCAAAAACCTTGGCCAGCAGCAAAGCATTATCATTTGCATATTGCAATTTACCGTCTGAGATGCTTTGAATTCCTTGACTAATTTGCCATGAAAGGATCCTAAATTCAATCAAGCATGGAAGTTGTCAGTAGACAGCAAAACTATGACAGAATATTTAAACAAGTTCGATGATAATTCAGAAGCATAGTTGCTTCACTCAGTAATCGGTAACAACAGGGCTTACCCAAAAACAACAGCGATAACTGCACCTATAATTGCCTTTTCAGGTGTCACTTCGACTTGAAGTTCTCCAAACTGCAGTTGGAGGTTCACATAAGACTTGGTACATCTAACAGTAGGCCGTAGCATCCACTATCATGTAAAAGGCACAGAGGGTGAGGGGTAATCATAGGGGTTGAAGAAGATAGCGCACCTTGAAAGTCCGAGATTCAGTTTTTGGGAGTTCCTCAGTTGTAGGCACTGCAGTTGCAGATAGAAGCTTCCCAACAGAAATCATTGACTTTGCAATCTATACTTGTTGCAAGCAGCCAAGAATACTGCTATTTAGGAATGCATGATTTAAAAGTTAATTACACTAAGGAGTGAAAAAATGAAGTGCTGCATAAGCAATTTTAGCCACATCAATCTCTTCACCATATCCCCAGATAATTAGTTGGTTTGCTGCTCATTGACGTGTAAAATATCATAAACAAGGATTTAAAATTCCTTTGATTCAGTAAAGCAGCATAATAACATGTTAAGGATGCACTATACCCTTTCTAGTTCACCTTGACCATATTGTCCCATAGATTGAAATCTTCTTCCAGCAGACAGCAATCGCTTACCAAAAGCTACAAAGGAAAAAGGCTTCTGGGTGAGGATTAAGCATTACATTTTGACAATGTAACTATCAATATGTCAATCAAATCTTTTACCTGCCTTTTCCCTTTCAGTCAAAGAAGTCTCCAACAAAGGGAGCTGCTTCGCTAAAGAGAAAGAAGTTGAAGTATCAGCTGATTCCCATGCACGGGCCAGATTCAATAACGTCTCCCCCAGCTCTTGGCCACACTTAAAAAAAAAAAAAAAATCAAAAATCAAAGTGGCAATGCATTGAGTGGTGGGAAAATAAGATTGTACTAAGAGAACTTTTTTTTTTTTTTTTTGGGGGGTGGGGGGGTGTTGGGGATCGTCTAAAACAGCTATTGCTCAAGTTGAAACCTGACTCCAATTACACAGGTTCCTTAAAAACGCGCATCAAAATCCCGTGGATTCATCTCCTTTCAACAGCACCATCAAATAACCAGAGGACTAACTACCATATATCTATAATCCATTAGTCCTTTATCCTCCTCTTACAAGTTGTCACAGGATAAATTTATTCCACTTCACTAAGTCTAATCCAGCCAATTCCATATAATTAAAACTCAAATTCAACAAAGAAACCACCCGGGGACAAGAATGCGAAGGATATCCCTTCATGTTGCCTCGGTCTTCTCTTTGTAGCTTGATAAGGAAGGAAGTGTCCTTGGCATAAGCCTTTGGTCTCCAAATGGTCTCAGAAAAGTTAGAGTCGTCATCACCCCTTCAAGCATTTCGCAAAAGGTCCACACAGATATATATGTCATCCTTAACACAACCACACCATAAATCATCCCCCAATCATGTTTGACAATTATCTTTGAAAGGATATTCGCAATGGATGAGGTTGATTCCTTTATCTAGTCATTCACATCGTTACTAACTTGACTCTTTGAAGTATTATGTCCAAACTTGAGTTCACAATTTGGAATATACATGACAATTTTAAAATTGCATTTATTATTTATTGGGTCGAAACCTACAATCAGAGTTCTACAGGGTTGTTCTTCAAGATTAAGATGTTCACAGAATTCTACGAAATCTCCCTTCAGCACTTATGTGTTGCCAATTCGCCATCCATAATGATGATCTAAAGAAAGTTGAACTTTCTTCTGTAGATCTGTTATTATATGGTGTAAAAAGTTAAAACTGTGTAAAGGAATGTTAAACTCCAATCTAGTTTGGTTTGCTACGTCTGCAAAAGATATTCATCCATTTCCTCCCTAATGGAAGATATTTTTTAACTCCCACCGAAGCAATCTATCCATCCATGTCAACAGAGTTTCCATTTTCCTATCAAATCTATCAAAATCTCTATTACACTCTTTGTCAACATCAAACTAGGAATGCCGGTAACATAAAAACTGCTAAATCCTCGCTACACGGTTGAAACTTTAAAAGCCACATAAAACTTCAGAAGCCCCTACATTTAGGAGCAAAGTGTTAAGGTTAAGAAACAAAGAACAGGTTGCAGGACACATTCAAAAGCCTACCCCAGCAACAGCCCCGCATTAAGGACACTGATTCATTAGTCCACAATGTTAACCAACAAAGTTCTCATCTCTGCCTGTCCTGAGTTGACCTCCACATCATCCCAAAATATCAAGTAATCAAATAAATCATATTGGCCAATAAAGCTGTCATCACTCAGTCAAAAAATTAAGCAATGATCCTAAACCAACTGTACATTGATAATAGTCAGCTGGCTGCCTGGCCTGCTTCTCGTACTACTCACTGGAAATACAATCTCTTAACAATGCCTTGCCACACAATCTAGTAACACAAAATTTACCTTTCTACACGATGTTCATAATCCCCGTGACAGGAAAACCTCACCTAGCTCTATCACTTACGACGTCAAAGTAAATTAGGAGTTACCAATGTACAAAAGTATCATATGACTTATCTAACAGTCTAATCCTTTCATTTTGGTATATTACTCATCCAATTCATCATACATAAAACCGAGCCTTTACAACGATCATAGTGCATTAGTGCAATGTCCATATACTACTCATTGTAAAACAATTGCAAAGAGATAAAAATTACTCGAGGCCTCGAGCCCAGTTTACAGAAAAAAATGCAGCATAAAACACATTCAACAAAGCTAACCTCATCAAGAACAGGTCCATTTGAAAGATCAAACGCGGCATCATTGAGCTGTAACAAACATTTTCACAAAATTAACTAAAACCCTACATTATGAAACATAACATTAAAATTCTTCCAAGCTGCGGCAGCTGCCAACTTCACAATATAATCAACAAAACTTTAAATTTTACAACAACAAAAATAATAAAAAAATATATAATAATAAACCCATTAAACAAAATCTTCACTTACATCAAGACGAAGGTCCCTAGGAAGTTTGGCAAAGTAATCAGGTGGCAAATCCAAATTAACCTGCAAACTAGCAAAACAAACTTTAAAATTTCACTTAAAAAAGAGAAATTATTAGACTAAAATACCAAAAACAAAAATAAAGTCCAAAAAACAACTAACCGCTAATTCTCGAAGAAGGGTTTGTGGGTCAGGATTAGAGGATTTGGGGGAATCTGATTGAGTGAGAGCAAATGCAACAGTTAGAGGAAATTTGGGGATATGGGTTTTGTAGCTAAGAGATTTTCTAAAGTGGGAATTCGAATATTTGTTGAAACACAGTGATTTTGTGGAACATAATTTAGTTGAAGATTGAAGAAGAAGAAGTGGATGATAGTATTGATGATGGTAAAGAGTAGCCATTTTTGGGAGCTTATTATTTCTTCTATTTGTTTAAAAAAAAATTATATTTTTACCCAAAAATTTTAAATATCAAGTGCAAGTGTGCAACATTGGCTTTTTTTGGTTAGCACTGTACAAATGGTGCATTTTGGGAGTGGTTTCAAGATCATTTTGTGGTGTTGGAAATTTTTGTGGATATCTAATGGCCCACAAAATTTGGGTTTGGATTAGATGGCATGAAATTTATAATATGCTTTATTCATAAATCATGATCACAAAATAACTAGTGAAAATAATATGACCTATTTAATTTGTATGCGCAGCCGTGCAGGGCCTGCAGGCAAAGCAACACTTAAACAATGCACCTCTAAATCTCTAATGATGTAGATACGATTTGATCACACGTGCCTAGGCTATCAATAAGGCAATGCCATAACATTTGCCACCGGTGTACGATTTTCAGCCGGAGAGGAAATTGTGAGCTTTTAAACTTTTGTAGCCAACCAATTTAATTCTCACCATTAGCTCAATCTCATTAAACAATTGCTGTTTTTTCTTTCTGCATCAAAAAGCTCACCTGGCAACAATGGAAAAAAATGTTATCAATAAGACTGTTAAATTTGATATCTCCAGGTATAAATCCTTTTTAGCTCATCCATAAAGACTAACTGGCATTGCAGCTGAAGCAATTACAATAGATCAAATAATCATGTCACTGTTGTAAATATCGAGCTGAATTCTGCAGCTACTAAATCATGTAGAATTTCCTAAATCATGGTCTATCAACACTAAACAAAAGCCAGAACGATTCCTAGAACAAGAGCTCGCAATACATGTAACAAACCGCGGTGATTTCTATGACGATATTCAGCTTTACAAAGAGCTTATCATTCCTAAGTCCTATGTTGAAAGAATGTTGGGTCTCAATTTCCAACCTTGGCAACCTTTCTCTGCTCAATTTGGCCTGTCACAGGACACTGCATCTCTGTCCAACTTATTGGAATCATCGTCTCACCTGCAAGAAAATTTAAACCATCATTTCATGCAGTAACTAAATAAACAGAATGGAAACCAGAAAGGGGCAATGAACAAAGGCTCAAAGCAAGACGTATAGCCAAATCCACTAACCTGCAGTGCTTTCTGCAGAAACAACTCCCAATTCATTTTTTGCTGTTGACAAATGATAGGCCCTTGCATCCCCCAGGGATAGCTAATAGATATGTCAAGGAATTCTTCATAAGGCTCATAGAGTAAAATAAAGCACATGCCACAGATAAAGTAGGTATGACTGTATGGACTACAGACTCGTGACAGACTCAAGTATTATATGACAAAATTTCATATTCTGGTCCAAAGCATAGTGTCAAAGATTCGACAAGGGTACACTTGAGGTAAAAAAGAGCCAGTTTATTACCAATAGATAGAATGTGTAAATGCTTAAGTTGATAATTTTTAACAAAGCTTTCAACCGTTCCTTTTGGCAGTGAATTTATGCAAAAAATAAAAGAGTTCCAAAAACCTGAGGTAGCAACACATCCATTTAAGATATATATTAATATAGAAAGCCATAGCAAGAAAAATAATGAATGAAGAAAAGACAAATACGGCAGAATAACTAGTATATCAAGGATACAACCACTGCCCTGACGATATCACCAGCTCGGAATGAAGCGTGCATATCGACCTTGTCAATCTCGGTCGCTCTTACATCCTGCTGTCTGCCAAGGCACGGCAATTTACTTAATCAAGACCTGCATAATATGTATTATGGATAACAATACAGAACAATGATCTTCTAACACAAAGCAAGCACCTAATTACGCCTGTAAAATTTTCTCTAACAGACTTGCTACCAACACACATGATATCCGCTGAAGCCATTTTAGCCATCACCTTTTTAACCTGTCATGAAGATCACATACAGATTAGTTTCAGTTTGCAAAAGCATATCATAACATGCAAATGTAATGAAAAAGGCAACTCAATAGTCACTAGCAATGATAATAAGTAGTTAGTTTTTACCCCTTCATACTTCATAGTGTTCCTAAGTAACATTGATAAATTTCAAAAAGCTAGCAAAACATAGTGGGATTATGGGAAAAATAGGAATTTTCTGGAAGGGGAAATTGTCTAGTACCCCACACCATTGGAAATATATTTTTTAAAGTAACTCAATTATAAACATTAAATATATTGCTAAAAGTTATCAAGAAAAAATAAACTTACCCGTGCAAGGACTGTGCAGCCAGGTTCAGGGACTGCACCATGCGCTTTATGACCGGTTACCTCCACGACTGACCTCTTTAGAAGAAAGTGTTGCAGTTGTAAGAACATAGGCATCATGTGAATTATGTAATAAACAAAGCCAATTGCTAAATTTATCAACATCAATTAATACAGCACTTACTGCAAGCATGATACATCAAATAAAAACCTGGACATTTTGAAATATATAGCGAATTTCTACCTGGTACCCTATAATATTGACAAAAATCTATTTGTTAGACCAATGACCTGTAAAATTTTCCATCAATGTTCACTTCCCCCCCCCCCCCTCTCTTCCCACCTAACCTAACACGGTAACCACCCCCACTTCATCATGAAAGCCACCCATACCCCTTTTATGCCTACATTCTCCTATTCTCCTATTCGTAATAGTTTAACCTATTTGTGAGGAGGAGAGGGAAAGGGTGGTTTCCATGGCATGAAGGGTAGCTGCTATGGTTTGTTGGGTGGGAAATTCCTGGTGTAAAACTTTAGGAAGGTCATGAAGTGAAATTGGACATTTAAAAGGTTACCTTTAACATTCAACATATTTGGTCTACCGTATAGAATTGTCAAAAGAAGGGGATACTAAAACTTTACACCAAGCCCATTAATAACTTAATAGTAAAGGACTTTTTCCTTTTTTTTTAAAAAAAAAAACACTACTACGTTGCTAGGATTATTTATTCAACAAACTGTGTTAGTCCATCAAAGATTCTAATTAGAAAGAAAAAAAAAAAAAAAAACAAACAAACTAACTAAGATTCTCTAGACGAATCCAAATTCAACCTTAGCAGTTAGAGCACTTTGGCAAGAACATAAGAAATAATTATCTCCAATTACAACTAAAGAAAAACCTTAGAATGGAGTCGTTTGAGTTATAAATTTATAATGTATTCAAGACTTCAGTCTGCCCCGATCATGGAATCTGCTCTAAAATCACCATCCTTAGTGTTCCAAAAGGCTTGATATCTGTCTCCCTAGTATAAAAATTGGCATAGACTAGATATTTAGCATTACTCCGTATTAAGTAAGCCGCCAAATTGAATCTGCTCTAAAATCACCATCCTTGAGCCAAAATATTGGGTTGAAAACTCTTCATATGTTGAACAATGACCCATCCAAAAAATATTTGTATTGGAAATTCTACTCAGGTTCCAAGCTTCTATAGTAATGAAAGTAAAGCCACCAAACCACCTCTCCAGATCAAAAATATTGGCATTCATAGTTCTCCATATACTGCATAAATACCACATATATGGAACCACTAAAACTGTCACACAACTCTAAAACCTCTGCATTGGAACATCTCAAATCCATACAATCATACACAATCCACAATCTACAACGTAATGAAATTGTTACTTAAATTTCCTCCAGATTAACCACTTCACAAACTCTAGGTCTGGCAGTATGTCTGCTTAGATTTCACTTTTTTGATGGAAAGATACAATTAAAGTCCAAGTAGTTCTAGCAAAGAAAAACTGAATGTCAACCTTGCAACTAATAATTTAGTCATAAAAATAGATGAAACTCAAACTCCGTTCTCTTCCCCATTTTTGTTCTGCTGCTTCTGCATACTTGGTCAACCTACCACAAGACCATGATAATAGAAACAATAACTCTATGCGAAAATCAATCAACAGTTCAATTCATATCCTCTCATTTAACCTAAATCAAGCCAAATATCAATTTCTCAAATCATTGCACTTTGACTCTTCATTTCGCCTAAAATACCCATGTTGGACAACTAACTCTCCAAGATGGATATGCACACTTAGCACCTCATACCAACCCAAAAATCCATAACATTGTTAGCCAAGTCCTAATAAAGTATTATCTAGTGCACTCATAGCATTTTGTTGAAAGGACAGAATTGGAATTGGGAGGTAAAAATGTCATCTTCCTGACTTCCCATATATACAAAACCAAACAAAAGGTGCCTCTCAATCCTAATGTACTAAACCAAATGACATAAAAACTAATAACTTCCATTTCTTCTCTCTTCGCTTCTCTTTCCTTCTCAGTCATTTTTAAAAACCCAAACGAGCAATCAAAATCTGTTTGGTTGCTCAACCAACATTTTCCTCTATAAGAAAAAAATTAAAAACGCAAAGGTAATAATTTTGCCAATCCGGAAATAGAATTTTGCTTCACTGATACTCCATAAGTCCAAAGCCAATTACATAGCGCAGATGCCAACTAGCTTAGTTGATTAAAGTCCGGGAATTGCTGCTAGATACTCGATACCGAATCCTGTCTACCTCATTAGTCATTACCATTTGTGCTCTCTCTACACTAGCATTAGAATTTCCATCACGCCCACAAATCAATGCTTAGCAAAATTATAAATACCCCCATTAAACTCCATAATCTCAAACTAATTCACAAAATTAACCATTTAACAAAACTCTGAAACATTATTAATCACCAAGATGTCAAATACTATATTACTATATATTTCCCAACTTTCCTTATACAACCAATATTGAATTTCCCAAAAAGAAACTACATATAAAAGCCCTAAAAAGCTTAATAAATTAACAAAACAAAAATGTGAAAGAAATTAAGAAGAAGAAACAAACCTTGTCAGTAGAATCGGAAGGAGGGGGAGAGATAGTGCGGAAACCAGTAAGAGAAGCGTAGACAAGATTAACACCGGCAGCATCAGCGGCAACGTAAGCACCTTTACCAGGTTTAAGCTCCGATGCTTTTCCTAAAATTTCTCCTGGTGTTACTTTTTCTTTGTTCTCTCCTTCGATTTCTCCCATGTTTTCTGGGTTTCTCTTCGATTCAGACGGCGGCGAGTCGTCGTCGGCGGCGAAATTGACGGCTTTTTTGACGGCGGCGATAGGGGTTTAATTTTTTGAGAGGGGCGGGGTTTCGGGAGTTCACTGTAAAAGAATGTAGACTTTTGAATGGTAGAGGTTTAATTTTTTGAGAGGGGCGGGTCAATGAGTCGGGTTTGCTTGGGTTGGGTTCGGGTATGAGTTATGAACATTATGGTGGATGATTAGAGAAAATACAAGTTTCTCATTAGGGCTGACTGGGTAAGCAAAAAATCAAGGTATTTTGAATTGGAATCGGAATTCGTAAATACAACAAACCTTAAGGAGTTATCATTTAGGGTACTTAAGTTGTACTTGCAAAAAATCAAGGTAATCTAAATTGGAATCGAAACTAGCGAATACAACTAATCTGAATTGGTATAAAAGTTAACCAAATCTAGGGCTAAACAAACATAGGACAGGTGTTTCGAGGATGGGGGGAGGGGTTTCGTGAGCGTTTGGAGGGGTGGGGGAGGGATTTTGTGGGTGTTTCGAGGGGAAGGAGGGGGGTTATGGGAATGGGGATGGTGGTTCAAAGGGATGGGGGAGGGGCGAGGGGACGAAAGGAAGGGGCGACTAGCCGACAGGAGGAGGGGGTGGGTTTTTCCGGTGCGAGAAGGGGATTGAGGTGGTTCCGGTGGCGGTGGGGTTGGGGTGTTAGGGAAGGGGGAGGGGCTAGGCTGGGCTGGGAATTTCGTTTTTTTTTTTTTTGGAAAATTTGTCAGAATAAACCTTTTAAAGCACTTTTTTTCCGGAAAAAACATTTTAAATTTTTTTTGTCAATCCAAAACCTGATTCTAAAATTTTTTTGTTGAAAACAACCAAAAACTCTAATTACCCTAATTATCCTCTAATTTTCCCTAATTACACTTTTAACTCTCAATTAATTATTTTAAAATTATACTAATTTAAAAAAGAAACATAAAACACCCTAACCCCCACCCCAGCCACCCCTTCCCCTGCAGCAGCCGTAGCGGCCAGAATCCTCTTTCTCTTGCGACGGCACCAGCGCCGCCCCTACCACCTATCGTCAACCTACGATGCAAATATGGATGAAAATGATGGCGGCAACGCTTACAAAGATGAAGAAGAGAGAGATTACGAACGCGATAATAATTAAGAGCTTGTAGAAGGATTGAGAAGAGTTTTGGGTTTGATTTTGTGAGAGTTTCCGGCGTCGGACGGGGATAGGGGCTGGGCTGGATCAGTGCCGGCGGGGGATGGGGCTGGGTTCATGTCCAAAGGAAAGGAATATTGGGGGTGGTGGTTTAGTGGGAAGGGGGAGGGTGACGGTGGGGGGTAGGGGCGGCATCTGCACCGGCGCGGGGCAAAGGAAAGGGGTTTTGGCCACCGTGGCTGCTGCAGGGGAGGGGGTGGTTGGTTGGTGGTGGGGTGGGGGTTTGGGTGTTTTATGTTTTTTTTTAATTAATACTAGAGGTGGGCATGGGTCGTGCTGGCCCACGAGCGGCACAAGCACGGCACGGTGGTGGCACGGCCAACACGAGCTCGCCAGCGGCACGACACTGTGACCAAGGAGTAGGTCGTGGGCCGTGTCGTGAACACAATATTGAAAAATTGGCACATACACGGTGGACGGCACGGTAATTTGGCCCGCCAGCACAGCCCTCCAACGCGGCACGCGGCACGCCAGGCACAGCCCGTGCAAAACGGCTATATTTCGCTGCTTCCAACAGCCATAAAACGGCTATAATAATAAATTAATAATAAAATTAACATAAATAATAATAAAGAGTAAAAGAACAATAATAATAAAAATAAGAATAGTAAAAAGAACAATTATAATATAATAATACAAAAATATAAACATAAATTAATAAAATTATTTAAATATACTCATTTTAAAAGTTGTTCAAAAATAATATATATCGTTTTTTTTAAAAAAAAGAAAAATAAAAATAAATCGCGGCCCGGCACGGCACGCCAGACACGTGGGTTGTGCCATGCCGTGGGCTGGGGTGTGTCAAATGGTGGCTCGGCAAGGCACGGCCCGCCAAGTTGCAGGCACGTCACGACATGGCCCGGCACAAGCCACCACCAGGCACGGCGAGGCACGACCCGCGGTGGCCCGGCACAGTATGCTGCCCACCTCTAATTAATAATATAATTTTTAAATAATTAATTGAGAGTTAAAAGGGTAATTAGGGAAAATTAGAGGATAATTAGGGTAATTAGAGTTTTTGGTTGTTTTCAAAAAAAAAAATTTAGAATCAGGTTTTAGATTGCCAAAAAAATTTTAAAAGGTTTTTTTCCAACAAAAAGAGTGCTTTAAAAAGTTTTTTCTGACAAATTTCTTTTTTTTCTAATTTTTTTTAGACCTATCACTACTTCACACGTGTTATAAAACCTGTTATAACAGATCATTGACTTTTGTTGACCGGTTTGGGATTGAAAAATGTAAACACCCCTAAAGTTCGGATTATTCCAGAATAATCCAAAATTGGGATTGTTAAAAGAAAATGGTGTAAAGTTGAGATTATTAATATCAATTTTTAGTTTTTTTTAATTAATACTTATGTGTGGTTTTAATTTTAAAATATTTTCTCTAATTTCCTCTCTTATTTAACTCTTTTTTAATTATTATTTGACTAATATTTTTTGTTTATAAAATAATAGATTAATGTCCAAAATTAAGAATAATTAAAAGAAAATGGTGTAAAGTTAGGATTATTAATATCAATTTTTTGTTTTTTTTATTAATACTTATGTGTGGTTTTAATTTTAATACATTTTCTCTAATTTCCTCTTTTATTTAACTATTTTATAATTATTATTTGACTAATATATTTTGTTTAAAAAAATAAGGGTATCATTGCCCTAATATTTGTTTGTTTTTTTTTTTTCCTCAATTATTACTTCCTGTATTTCTTTAATGAACTTGAATCTCCTGAAATCGATAAGGAAGCTTTGACCACTTAAGGTAGTGGCGGAGCCAAAAATTTTAATTTGTTAGTGAGATTATAAAATATGGAGATATGTGTTCATTAAATTGTATGAACTAACCCAATAAAATGAGAATGATAAGGCTCGACCCAGGGTCAAAGCAAGGAGGGAGTAATAACCTCATTCACTCTAACCACTAGACCATCTTTACCTCTGTGATACTAAACATATCTGTAATTCTTTTATTCTTTTATTACTGCATCTTTACAAACAAACAAAAAAAATTGGAAAATGGGGGAGAACTGTCCCCTTATATTCTAACGTGGCTCCGCCACTAACTTGAGCTATTTCTTAAATAACTTTTTTTCTTTTTTTTTTTAGAGAACTTAAATAGTCCACTTAATTTTAAATACTTTTATCAGTATTATAATTTCTCAATATCCCCAACTTTTTGAATTATACAATTTCAATTTAATTTCATTGTTAAGGGGAAAAATCACTGCACTCAAGTTTTTTAATTTTTCTGTGACAAATTTTCAGTTAAAATCCAGATTCTATCTATGGTTCTTTTAATGCTTTTTTTTTTAATTTTTATATATAATTATTGGTTTGATTTTCAAATATTTAAATATGCCTCCAGAAATACTTTTAATAATGTCGTTTAAAATTTGTATAAGCCAAATTTTTTACTAGCAGAGGACCACTAAATTGTGGGAAAAGGCCCTAGTATCTAAAATAAAAGTATGCACATTAGCGCAAGTCATCTTTGATTATTGATTTTATGTATTCGTTTTTTCCATCACAAATTCCATGATGCTAAAACGAACGTCATCATGATGATATTGAGTATGTTCATAGTATTTTTCTATCTTCATTCAAATTCATCCAGTGTTGAAGCTTAGGTTTTTAGATAAGAGGAGAAGAGGGCTGATACTTATTTAAAAATAAAAAATAAAGTGGATTTAACTAAGATAAAAGTAACCCTTTTTAAAAATTGGGTTGAACAAAGTTATGTCTATAATTAAATTATTCACAAAAATTATGGGTATATGTAACACTTTGGTTAAAAGTAGTATTTGGTAAATTTTGCCACTTGGACCAATGTTCATAGGTACTCTATAACTTTTACCATTGAATCAATACTAGATACCACCTTTATTTTTTATTATTTGCAACAATGAGTATTATTTGTGAGACATAAAATATTCTTTTGTTGCGCATAATAAGAAACGGATATAGTAATTTAAAACTCAATAGAGTATTGTAGGCGTCATTCGAAGCGCGCCTACTTTAGCATGTTGTGAATATGCTTGGCACTTATAGAAAGTGGGAATTGACATATACGATTAAGGACGAGGAAAGTAGGGAGCCGCCAACAAGTTTTTAAGGACGTTCACGGATCATTAAAGGCAACCACGATTAAGGGACAACAAAAGGCAACGACAATTGACCCGCGAAGGTTACACCCCATTCATAATCCATGAGATTACTAACTCCATATGGTTCGGAACCACGAAAGGAAGATCGGGGATGATGGTACGAAGTGAGTCATGGAGTCACATTCGCCCGTATTGGCCTCTACTCGATTCCTTTTGTGAAAAGTGATTCTTGCGATCTAAAAAGTATGCAAACAAAGATTCAATTTGCTCCAAACTAATATTAAGCTAAATTGGTTTAATGTTAATGCAACATATGATTCTATAATATCGTGATCACTTTAATTAACAACAAGATTAAAAAGGAACCTAAACCGGTCGTCCAAATTATCTTATTAATCGTGATATTTACTTACATATTCCCTTTAAACATGCAATACGGTAATCAATAAATTTAATAGAATCAACATTAACATTAGAAGCAATTTAACCATAATAACGATAGCCAAATCAAATAATGATAAACCTAATCATGATACTAGCAACAAGAATAATAAAAAGTGTAATTAAGTGAATTAACTACTCATGTTCCGCGTTTCATTGAATTGCTACATCATGAATAAACTGTTAGTAACTTCAATAAATAATAAATCAAATTGAATTAAATTAAATGAAAAGTAGAGTTGATTTGGTCCAAACCTTCAGTTAATTCTACCTTTCACGCCTTGGTTTAAGTATAGAACTTCGGGTCAAGTATGGACTCCTTAGAGTGCTTAGGGGAAGTATTATGAGAGAATAGGGTGGCTAGTGTTTAGGCTAAATAGAGAAGAGAATGATTGTTGGTGCAGGGAGAAACAGAATGATTTTTGGTGTAGGGAAAAAGAGAATGA